TTGAATAGGAATTTTTTTTATTTTTCATTTTGTCGAAAAAATTACTCTTGATAAAAAATTTTACTGGCTCTTAAAGTAAGATTGGGAGAGAAAAATTTAACATTTCTTGTAAAAAAAATGATTACAAAAATAAATAAAAGTAGGCCGATTTTTTCGAAAAATGGTATTAGAGACAGCCTTTTACTATAAAATGAAAAATAGAAAAGTTTTTTCTATTCAATACCTTTTCTGTGGACATACTGTATATCTACTTGGTTTGATGATTCTACAGGATGTTTCTGAAATAAGTGCGTTCTTTCAAAGGAAAATAGCTCCAAAAAAATATCAGAATTTATACGCTAATGAATTTTTTAACTTTTAAGTAATTTTAATTTCAATTTCCTTAACTGTGTTGTACGGTTACTTTAATAAAAAAAATTCAGAACTTTAAAACTGCTCGTTATTCGAACATGTAAGGGATCTTTTTTCTTGTTAATAGAAAGCGCTAATTTAATGAATTTGCAGAATTCTCATTGGTGTCGAAGTTCTGAGGCAATAACCCCTCCTATCTCTACTACTGGTTGACATGTTTGTAGGTCAACATAGCAGGTTTTTACTTCCACTTAAATCAGTGGCCCAAGTTTCATCAGTCTACATCGAACATCCTCAGTGATATTTCCAAAAATCCAAAAAATGTAATATTTTTCTCTAATTTCAATCCCATTAAGAACAAACAACTAAAACCCTCCGTATACTGCTAAAATCAATATGTAAGTAAACGTTGCAATATAAAAATGAAAACAAAGGCTCTACAAATATTTATTTATTTTTAACTTAACATTACTTAATTGTCTACAAAATAAACACATTTAATTGAATACTGCTTAAGTAAATATGTATGTATGTTTTTAAAACAAAACATATTTTTCTTTGTGGTAGTAATATCTAACCTTAATAAATATTGCCTAACTATATTATTTGTGTTATATTTAGTTTCCCAAAGGTAATTACTAAGACACACAGGAGGTCCAGCTGCCAATACGGAGTATAGTCGTTGAGGATTTACAGTCTCCATTAAAAAAAAGTAATGTTCAAGCTCTAAAGTACTGTAATTTACTTCGTTTTAATAAAACAAAATAAAAACTTTTGGAACTAGCCCGTTTTTTTTCATTCTCCGCTTTCATGATCTTAAATCTAATGATGATTTATGTACTTGTATAATTTAAAAATAACGTAACTTATAAAGAGATTATTCAAAGATTTGTTTATGTATTTATTAAATTATTGTGTCAACTTTGTACTTAACTTGAAAACACCTAACTAAAACTGCATATAAAAATAAAAGTTTACACAAATTTTAGTAAATTAGAATTCATTCTCCATACATGCAAAACACAAGAAAGCTGTTTCCTCTATTTGCTACATCTTTTACGCGTGCCCATTGGAAGTGGTTTGAAGATACTTCATTGCTTCTTCCACGTCTTCCATGTTCACCAATGTCCACTGAGTATTCCTGTCAAGCAACATGCAACAACATGCAGGTGATACTGTGCCATACAGGCGTTATGACCAAATCTTATCATCGAATTAACGTATACGTACAAGATTTATATACAGGGTGTCCGCCGAGATATCCCAGATACTTCGTATATGAATTCTATGAATAATTTTAAGAAAAAATGATTCTATTCATCTTTCCCGAATTCCCAATGGTTTTTGAATATCGGGGTTTGATATTGCCAGGTCGTAAGGGTAGTTGCTAAAGAGTAAATTGCATTGTTGCTACTAGAAAGCTTAGAAAAAATGTGATTTATTTTAATAAAAGCGTAATGACAGTGTAATTATTAAAGCTGCTCAATGTGACCATCGCCTTGTGCAATGAATAACATAATCCTTTGTCTAAGATCTCGTTTCCAGTAGTAGTTCTCCATATTGTTTTTCATCTCATTAAACGCTGTATGAATCTTCTCAATGACTTGGTCCCTGCAAATAAGCTTTCCTATTGAATAGAAAAGTGTTTTCACAAATCCAATTTGAAAAAGTCCAACGGGTTGAGATCCGGAGATCGACCTATCCATCGATTTGAATACTTTTCACTGAGGAAATTAGTGACTCCTCTTCCATAATGGGACGGACCACCATCGTTTACAAAGAACATCGTCCGGCTGCTTTGAAGAGGAATGTACTGAAGTGGTAGAGGTAGATCGTTCTCCAAAAAGGCCTGATACATCTCGCTGTTCAAATTTCCGTCGAAGAAATGTGGTCCAATAACTTAATTATTAATTATTATTATTATTATTCCAGCCCAAACGTTGACCGAGAATCTTCTCTGAAAATGGAATAGAATGAGGGTTTTCTATTGCCCACACATGATCATTGTGGAAGTTGTTGATTCCACCTCTTGTAAATGTAGCTTCGTCACAGAAAAGGCTTCTTGAAAGGTATCCAGATAAATGCACCACCATTCATAAAGACGAACTCTTTGGAGCAAATTCGTGGGGAGAAGTTCTTGTACGGGTTGGTAATGATAGAGATGCTGTCCGTTTTCTCGCAAAGTGTCTTGCATAGCCGTCGTACTTTGTCCAGTAAGTACGGAAATTCTTCAATAAGCTCAAATACTTCTGCAGCATTTTTTTTCTTTGCATAACTTCTTTTCATAAGTCGGTTTTGGGAACGCACCTGTTAATCGAAGAGTTGTAAAGGTCCTTTGAACGTTTGCTTGGAAGATGGCGGTTTGGATATTGTCGTTGATATTCTCTAATTGAGGCCGTGGTACCACCGTTGCAATATCCATACACGAAAAACATGTCCGCGTATTTTTCAATTGAATTGAATGATAATTAACAAACTGACAATCAACATTTTTTTCTAATCCAAGCCAGCTTGCTAATTATTAAATTACCTAGCCCTCTAGTCGCAACAATGTAATTTAGTACTTAGCAACTACCCATTCGACCTGGCATCTTCAAACCCCGATATTTCAAGAACCATTGGAAATTCGGGGAAAGTGAATATTCATTTTTGCTTAAAATTAGTCATAGAATTCATATACGAAGTTTCTCGGATACCCCAGCGGCCATGCACCCTATATAAAAGTGATTTTTCCTTGGTCATAACGCCTGATAGATATAACCAAAAGCTAGTAATTCAATATCAGGATCAGCAAAATATCTTGAACAAAATAAAAGTTTTTCTCCATTTTAAATAGTGAACTATTGTTCCCTTATTTAATTTCAGTAATTGTACTAAATAAAGGAGTCAGTTGTTACCAATTTTTATTCATTCAAGAAAAAAGTCACTCTATTCCATATAAAAAAGAATACGTACTACTCTCGTACATACTTCGTATGTGTAGCAAATGAGCTGAGGGTTTTCAATATCTGAATCACGTATGTGTGCGTAAATTTTCCACAAATTGGCGTTTAAGTGATCGATCGTTTAACATTCCGAAACAGGAGTCGAACAGCCAAAAGAGTGGAACGGAACACATGTAACAGGCAAAAAAGTTTCCATCTCCACGCCTTTGCGGCAAATTTATGTAATCCGCGTTGTGTATTTTTTCGCAGAGATTGATTCTTCACTGCGGACGCACCGTACAGGGTAGAAGTGAAAAACTTGCCAAGGTCACATGAATAAAGGTTGCAAGTCACCTGTTTCTGGTCAAATAGTTGTTTGTTGAAAGCAACGACCTGAAGATGATTTAAAAGTAAGTCGAAACGTTGACGTAAGGTATTTATTTAACCTACAATTTACAATTTACGCAGCTGTTATGTACAAATAATCGGTTGTCCCTCCTGTAGGCGTCGGAGTATCGAAAACTGTGGGGCAAAAACGACGTCTAAGAATACGAGATAGTGTAATTTTGGCAATCGTCTCCCAAATCGCGCTTTTCCCAATAAACGACCCGCTTAGATTCATCACGCAGTTCTTCGGAACGCGGGTGGATATATTTCAGTCACGTTCGTGCTAAACTACTTTCGATAGGGATGGCCAAGAAAAAGCGCCATCTTCGCTTTTGAGATATGAAATTTATACAGTTCTCTATGGCCGTTTGCTAAAACGAATATTTCTTTTGCTTAACATAATTATTTACCAATATCTTGATACAATTTTGATAAATTCAATTTAAAAAAGTGTAAAACAGATGACGATTTTAACATGAAGATCATTTTGATATTTGATATTTATGTAGAATAATAATAATAATAATATCTCTACTCCTCATTCTAACTACGAGAATTAGCCCAGAAGTCGGAGACTTGTGCGGGGAGAGGAGGCGGCATATTATTATTACGCAGGCCGAATTTGCGCCCAGGAACGACTTATGTTGGTAGGCCCTAACCACCATTCAGTGCAGGAATGAGGGAAACCTGGAAAACCTCATTAATTAGGGGGTGGTCAAATGCGGTGTCAATCTGTCACATTGACCCAAGCCAACATTCTTCCACCCTACCATACCTGCACAGAGGGTGCCAATCCTCCGTACAAGCATATCTAATCTACGGTCTACCGGCCGCGGGATTCGAAACCCGGGCAGATCGACACATCGATTTAAGTACTGACGCCTTAAACCGTGCGGCTATCGACCGATATAACCTTAAGAACAGTTTAATAAATACAGTGTACGAGTAGCTTTAGAATTGACATAGGGTGTAACTTTACTAAATCTGAAATTATTATTATTTTTTTAATCAAATATATAGTTGAATTATAATTCGTTTTTTTACTGCATTTTATTGTCTGCACCGCCACTGGATAGTTCCCGAACTCGGTTGCATGTGAGTGCTTGTTAGTGTGATATTTTGCTGTTCTTTTAAATCAACCGTATTAAGCCAATTGCAGAGAGCGAAACTGCAATGAAAAGCAATTTTGTAAAATAATATAAATTTCAATCAGATCAGAACCAACCAAACTTGTGGAAAATATCTCTATAAATTTATCTCTATAAATACGATGACTATTTCTCAAGCTTTGTTTGCTGATCCTGATCTTTCCATCTAAACTACACCAAATCCTCTTACCGTATGCTCTCTGTCCTGGATCGAGGAGACCAGTCCTTGCTACGACTCCCTGATCTTAGACGACTAGGTCCCAAAGACCTCCTAGTCTTCCAGTTCTCCAGATGGTGCCGAACGGTGTTCTGGACCTCAGTGTTTAGGAAGCAGTAGAACAGGGCCACTGTGAAGCCCTGCAACAACAAAGCATGATGAGGAAAATACCAAATATACCTTTTTTTGAAAACAGCTGTTTCAATTAACAATTCGATGATTTATAGAAGCTAGAGAGATGTTTATAAAACAAATGTGTTGATATAACCATTCCAATTCCAAAATATCTGATTTACAAAATCATAAAATGTAACACTGGACAAGGCAGTAAAAAAGAAAATTAAATTTATAAAAAATATTATCATAACACAACAATAAATAAATGAAGTAATTTCAAAAACGCTTTTAGTATTACAAATATTAAATCAGCATAGTTTATAAAACAATGTATCTCCACATAAATAATAATTGTCTGGGACACATTATAATGGAACTAGTCTTTTGAATCTAAAAGTTAACGCCTTTCAATAAACGTGCGTTTACATTCTGCTCTGATTATTATGCAGTGCAGTGCCTCGTCTAATTTGCCGCCTCGATCAGCAGAAGGAAAATTGCGACATCAGACCAAAACGCATTACCACCGCGACATAATTGAACCGCAATCGCGTCAAAGAACAATTTCAGCAAATACATTGTACGATAAGCCAGGCCTGAGGGGTGATGAGGTCGTAATTGGCTCGTTTCAGGATTTCGCGACGATTACGTAATTTGAACGAGTGCTATTAAGAAAGAAAAGAAGTAAGTAATCGAAAGAATAGGGATCGGGACTTAAAATAATTGATAAAATTATTATACCCTTTTATTCTACCAACAGAGGTGGTCCTTATAAAGATAATGGTGGAGGAAAAAAAAAGAAGGAAACTGTTTAAGATCGTTAACAAAATTAAATGTGATTTGCAGACATCCTGTTTTAACAATAATTGCATTAATTAAAGTTGCAAAAGCATCTCATATACAGTCCGTACGATATTTGTTGGGATAGAATTCTAAGGAGACCCCTGCGTCACTTTATTGGAATTAACCGCATTGATACCCGAAGTAGAAAGACATTGGCGGAAAATTTCAAGGCACGCCCCTGTTGTGGTAAATTGTTACAGTTGTTCCGAGAATAGAACTTTGTTGGCGTATTCCTTTCTTGGAATTCTTTCTCAACAAATATTGTACGGACTATAAGCATAGTAAGAAAATAGTATTATTTTGAAGTAAAACAAACAGTAATCAAGTGTAGGCAACAAAAGGATTACGAAAACACTGTCAAACAAATTCATTTATTGCAACTTCTGTATTATTATTCACAATCAGGACAAATACCAAGAACAACGTGTGCATATGTGTCAGAGATTATGTTAGCTAATTTAATATAATAAAGTATAAAAGCCAAGAAGTTTTTCTGCACATGTCAAAAAATTGTTCACAATGCCAACTCAACTAACTAATATACTAACAAAACAAACGATAGGTCCAAATGAAACTACGATATTGGCTAAATAATAAGGAGTGTTCCAAAAGAAACGCAGGATGAGGAAACAATATTTTATTAATTAAAAGGTTGGCAAAGTTTTTACATGTTTTTAAAGGGACGACATTATCATTAAAAATGAAAGAGGATATTGGACAGGTGCCCTCCTCCAATTCTGTACCACACTTTTGTATACCTGTTGCTGAATGTCGTTGATATCTCTCCGAATATCTGTCTTTAATTCAGGAATATAATTCACTTGAGTAGAATAAATTTTGAACTTTACGAATTCCCACAGGAAAAAGTCATCAAAGTGGCCGAGTTACTTCACTGTTACGTGAGATGAGTCGTCCATTAAATGTCTGCCGTATGGCTGGTGGCACCATCCTGTTGGAACCGCATGTCATCCAAGTCCATGCCATCATAGCATCTCTCGATATCGTTCTCCATTGACGGTCATTGCGTTTCCTGTTTCTTTTAAAAAAAGAAAGGACCAATTAGTCCACCAGCGTAAAATCCACACCACACTGTCAATCATAGGGTATACAGTGGTCGTTCTTGAATGACTCGAGAATTGTCGTTGCCCCAAATTAAACAGTTTGGCTTGTTCACGTACCACACAGATGATTTTCTTAACAAAATCGCCGCCTACTTGTTGATTCTCCAACATCCAATCAACGAATGTCCGGTGCATTAACTGTCACTCACCGTAGCAAAATTTTCATCAGAACGGCCAGTACGAGGCCGGCCTGTTTTTTTAAATATGCACACAGTCTCAGCTACACACTCTCTGTCCTTGTAATGAATTTTCACAATATTCACTCGCTTATCCGTCGTACAGCGCTTTATTTTGTCTAATTGCAACCTGTTTACTACATGTGATTCTGCAGAATGCTATTAACTCTTCGGAATGAAAATGGCGCACAACTCAAATCCTGCATTACTTTTGGGACACAATTTAGTTGGCAACGGAGTGCCAAATTAGATCTATTCGATCAGTGGCGTGTATTATTAAAACATGTCCGCTACTCCGAGACAATTTTTATTTAGGTAATTTTGTAGTAAACGCATGTTGTTTTGCCAAGATCTACTCCCATTAAAAATAAATCTGCAAGTTCATAAACACTCTGTACATCAAAATGGTATATGGTGATTTAAAAAGAAAACACGTGGGCTCAGTTTCATTGCTACAGATTATAATATCACTCACTATTTCATGAGATATTAAATATGTAAATGAAAAAGGGAAGGCTGAAAATCACGCCAGGTTTATACATAATAAACTGAAAAATCTCCTAAACGCTGGAAGAGTGGGTTTTTATTGCGCGATAATTTTGTTTATGAGCTGGTGGACTTATTAAATTAATATTTTCCTTAATAAAACCCTTTTTACAGCTAGTGAGAATGTTCAATAAAAGCTCGCCAGATGCTTCAAATGTAATTATGGTTGTGACTAGAATAGACAAATAAAAGCGATATTGAAAACAACAGTAATAAAAAGTCTTACTGAAATTTAAGAAAAAGAGGACATGTCAAAAGTCGTGTTTAGAAAATTGGAAATATAAAGTGAACACAAAAATAGAACCTTGCTTTTCCACTTTTTATATGTCTTACAGTCTACTGAAACGTGTTTTGTACCTATAACTTAAGTTACCTATAATTATTACTGATATTTAAATAGGTATTCCGAGAATGATTATGGGTAAATCAAAATGTTGATAAAACGTCTCCTCCTACAGTTCATGTATAAGCTACTGGACGAGTCTAGCCATAGAAAATATAGGCTTTATTAAAAATGTATGCAGAATTCCAGATTCGAAGTAAAATATTGTTACAGTCTGGAATAGACTGTCCGCTAGGTTTTCTAACACGAGCGCAGTTGTATTTCCCCGGAGTGGAGCTGAATTATTTAGTTCTTCCTGATGAAAGAATTTATTTCACATATTTCTCATTCGGCTAGCTTGGACAATAGCTTTATTATTTTCTTATTTCTAAGGTTGGTATATTGTCAGATCAATGATCATCGTCACGACATATATTTGAGAATTTATGATTTATAGTAGTTGTTTCCAATTGCGAATACCATATAGTATAAAGGGTATGGCATTAACATTCTCAATCGTTTTTCAAGTATTGGCAATTTTATTTGTTTCTTCACAAGAATGTTTACAGTTTGCTTATATTTGCTTGAAAAGTAACGAATAAATGAATTATTTTTTAAATTGAGAAGTTTTTGAAAAAATCCCCTGGCACGTTGAATTTGTTTTTAAAAAAGGCACTTTTTGACATACGACTCATATTTGTGACGTCATCGTTGTTCGAGATATGACGTCATCGACAATTTTTTTAAATAGCAATCCCCAATTTTGACCATGCCATTTGAAAAAGCGTGTCATTCTACATACACATCATGAAAAATTATGGTGTTACATAACAAAAATTTCAAGAAAATAATGTTTGAAGATTTTCAAATTTAATTTTCACAATACTGAAAATGATAATGATTATGTAAAAATTGATTAAATTAAATGTTCAAATTGTGCACCGTTCGCTGCCAGTGACAGTAGCCAAGACGATTAATAAATTCTTTTTGGACATTATCAATAATTTCAGGAGGTATACGATGTATCTCGTGACGAATTCTTGCTTTTAAATCTTCTAAATTAACCGGTCTAGTAACGTATACTTTGTTTAAGTATCCCCACAGTACCCCAATAATCTAGGGGTGTCAAGTCAGGCGATCTGCCTGGCCATTCAATCGGCCCCCTTCTCCCTATCCAACGATTCGGGAGCAGCTTATCTAAATAAGCACGGACAGGTGTTGCATAATGGGGAGGTGCACCATTTAGTCGATTTTTACATAATCATTATCATTTTCAGTATTGTGAAAATTAAATTTTAAAATCTTCAAACATTATTTTCTTGAAATTTTTGTTATGTAACACCATAATTTTTCATGATCTGTGTATGTAGAATGACACGCTCTTTCAAATGGCATGGTCAAAATTGGGGGTTGCTATTTAAAAAAAATTGTCGTTGACGTCATATCTCGAACAACGATGACGTCACAAATACGGTTCGTATGTCAAAAAGTGCCTTTTTTAAAAACAAACGACGTGCTAGGGGATTTTTTCGAAAACTTCTCAATTTAAAAAATAATGAATTTATTCGTTACTTTTCGAAAACACTGTATAATGTATAAACACTATTAAAATGCGATACCCAAATTGTCGCACGCATTCCATATGACACATATAGTAATTCGACACATTCAGTAATACAACACATACGAGGTCTGTTCAGAAAATAACAGAACTTTATTTTTTTTAAATTATTATTAATTTTATACATTATTGGTTCTTGTTTCATGCAAAGTGTAAAAATTGATGACAATACGTATAAGGTGAGCCATTGATCTTGGTAATATTTTGAACACTGCTCTTGCAAGAGCAATTCGCTCTTGTACCTCCTTAAGTTCCTTGACAGGCTGGTTTGCATTAGATTCACGCTACATATAATGTAGCTCATTTGCTATCATTCCTCGTGACTGCCCCGTTAACTTTGTAATTGCCACTTTCGAAAGAAAATCTATTGCGAAGTCGTTTTCGAAACATTAATACA